GTGAGAGGACCCAAAATGTTCACCAGTTATTTGCATAACAAGGCGGCAACCGATGAGGCCATTGATAGGGACGGGTGGCTATTGACGGGAGATATCGGACACTACGATGAAAAGGAAAGACTATTTATCACGGACCGCATCAAAGAGATGATCAAATTAGGGCCAATACAGGTGTCGCCCACAGAGATCGAGCTCTACCTACTCACCCATCCATGCGTTGCTGAAGTGGCTGTCGTTGGGGTCAGACATGAGACTGAAGGCCAGTGGCCCCGGGCTTACGTCAAACGCCGGGATGGTATGGATGTTACGGAACAGGAACTACGCAAATATATTGCAGGTATGAGCACTGGTAGCCAATGATTTTTGCAATTAATTGTTTTATTTGCTAAAACAGACTCATTGGCGGAACCAAACCAATTGAGGGCTGGAGTGGTATTCGTTGATCACATCCCGCGGACTACTATCGGGAAAGTCGACCGAAAATACTTTAAGAAATTGGTGGCCAATGAGTTGATTAACAATTAAATGCTATCTATTTATATAAAAATGCAAATATTTACGAAACAAAAGCTTCACATTAAATATAAGTTTATTTTCATTTTATTGACTACTATTTATTCAAAATCATTTAATGACATTTGCGGGTGGACTGGGAGCTAATACTGCATATTACAAGTTTTCAATTTAAATATATGCGGTACAAGTTTATCTGTATGTGTAAAATTCAAAGTAAGCATGTGCAGATTTATAAATACGCTACTAAATACTGTTAAAATATATTACATACCGATGCATTTTAAGGGCATTCCGATAATATTCGTCCTTCACATGCAATGTTAGCAACAGTTTTCAGAATAGAGAAACTCCTCATTAATTTGACACTACTTTTACGGTTTGCTATCAAATATTCAGTGAAAAGTCTAGTTTCATGGTTTAGATAATGACAACATTATAGTCTGAATGACTATGAACATTTAATTGTGTCAAATGTAGTGAATATTTCACATAAAAGTGATGAAAAACTTTCTCGAGATTTGCAATAATCATAATTTTTGATACCAAATAATGTACACTACACTTATGAAAAGTATATAAACAGTGAGATAATTCAGATATTATTGAATACATGGGAGAAGTTTGTTTAAACAAAAATGAGTGACAAATATATCATAAAATCGCCGAAAAAGGCTATTGACATACCGGTCCTTTCGGTGGGAGAGTTTGCTTATAATTATCTCAAAAAATTGGATCCAAACCACACATGTATAGTGAGTATATATTATGCAAATAGTCTGCAATAACCAATTTTACTAAATAACCAAATTAATCAAATATTATTAAATATTATAAAATAAAATACAGTTTTAAAAACTTATTAGAAAAAGTATTTTTCTATTTAAAAAAGACCGACTTCTGTACCTCAAAGAGTCTAACCGTTGCTGAATTATTGACCAAAGCCAATGCCTTAGCTCAGGCCCTAGTGGACAGGGGTGTCAACAAAAGTCATTTAATAGTCACTTTGGCCAACACTTGCGTAGAGCACGCGGTGCTTGTATTCGCGTCAATATTCTTAGGCATCACTCTATACCCCATAACACCGATAGCTAATGTCCACGAATTGCAGACTATATTACCAACCCTGGGATCAATTGCCGTTTTTGTGGACACGGATAAGGCTGAGCTCATGGATAAAGTGCTAACAAATACCACGCTTAATATTGACGCCAAGTGGACAGTCGTATTGGACGGAGTGTTTAAAAAGTATATAACGTTTGATGAACTCCTAAAAGAGGGTCAAAACAGATCTCTACCGAAAATACCACACTTTCCGGTCGACCCCGAGAAAGACATCTATGTTTTGCTTCAGAGCTCCGGTACGTCAGGCATATTCAAGTCGGTGCAGATATCGCACCGGGCGTTTGTCGCCAACATCTATTGTGATATCTACCACCGGAGCCAACACTTGGATCCACTGATATTCAGCGAAATCACACCATTTGGCAGTATATCCGGTCAGATGTTTCTGTTTAAGTATCTCTTAATCGGATCCACTTTTGTTGTGTACAGTCGTGTCACCGAAGATAATATACTGAAGTCTATAGAAAAGTATAAAATTAATACATTGTTTATAAGCCCTCTGTTTGGCAGTCGACTGATATCCGAGAAATACTTTCAAAAGTATGACCTCTCAAGTGTCAAACTTATTATGACATCAGGGGCTGCTTTCCCAGCACCGGTAGCCACAGAGTTGGTCACTAAACACGGAGTAGTCCTTAGGGAAGGTATGAATAAAATATATATATTAAAAAAATTAATTATTTTCATATAAATATTTTATAAAAGGTTACGGAATGACAGAATACGCGCCCATAACTCACTGGCAAACATGCGAGCCCTGGGAGTTTATACCGGGATCCATGGGTTACCCATCATATAACACCGAGATCAAAGTGATAGACGTGACTACAGGGGATAGCCTACCGACTAATACAGAGGGCCAGATATGCGTGAGAGGACCCAAACTATTCACCAGTTATTTGCATAACAAGGCCGCAACCGATGAGACCATTGATAAGGACGGGTGGCTCCTAACCGGCGATATCGGACATTACGATGAAAAGGACAGACTGTTTATTACTGATCGCATCAAAGAGATGATCAAATGGACGACAATACAGGTGTCGCCCACAGAGATCGAGCTCTTCCTACTCACCCATCCATGTGTTGCTGAAGTGGCTGTCATTGGAGTCAGACATCAGACTGAGAATCAGTGGCCCCGGGCTTACGTCAAACGCCGAGAGGGTATGGATGTGACGGAACAGCAACTATGCAAATATGTTGGAGGTATGAGCACCGGTAGTATTTTCCTTTGATAATTAGTTGCATATCTATGGATAGACTCCTTGGGTGTTGAGAAACAATTGAGGGCTGGAGTGGTATTCGTTGATCACATCCCGCGGACTACTATCGGGAAAGTCGACCGAAAATACTTTAAGCAATTGGTGTCTAAAGAAATACTAACTGGCTAAATAATTTGATACAAAATATTTACATACTTTTGACGAAATTGGAAATAAATAAAGATTTATAATTTTTATATTATATTTAATAAAACTTATTTTAATTACAATAACCACATTTAATGAAAGCTCTTTTTACTGACTACCCAACCATTTGTGAGGACTGGTAACCCCACTTTGCTATTATACAAATACTTGGGCTTCAAACCCCATGTATGAGCCGTATATGAGTTATCATTTAGCGGTTGTGGGAATACATTGAATATATAATTACATTTAGTTTTAGTGTTATTTGTGACAAACATGTTATGAAGTCTTAACGACAGATTTATACAGACAGTGGACAGGAATAGTACGGAAAACCCAAACCATAGGCTGGATATACTGGCGATATAACAGAGGAATTCCTCCAAATACACGGCAGGCATGTGCTGATAGGTACGGGTGGGCACCGACGGGAACAGTACGCCTATACTGCAGTCGTTTGGGTTGAAACTAGAGGCCAGTTGTTCTCTGAAATCGTAGTACTCGTCGGAACAGTCGGCGCGCCGGTGACAGTGCTGTACGCATAACCGGGAGTACTCCCAGTCCTTCATCGCCCAGTGCTCATATGGACTGAACTTGATATTACTGGACATGTTATACGAGAGATAATTACCAGGGTAGCCATTGGTACTTGTTATGAATTTCTGTATTTTACACTTTGACACGCAGTCGTAGCGGGACTGGTAGGGCGTATGGCGTTCAAAGTCCACGCAATTAGTCATGTACGGCGCCGGTAGTAAAACCACCCTGGTCTTTTTATACTCAATTAGTAGTTTTTTCTTATTCTTAAGTGCCG